CGGCCTGCTCGCCTGGCCTCGGGGGAGAGGAGGCTGAAAACAAAACACGCGATGGAGGCCGTTTTTACAAACTGCCGGCGTTCCTGCGCGCTAGCCCTTTTTTCAGGGCTGCGGGGAATGTGCTGCTGCACAGTTCGAAGCCTACAACGGGGTGAGCTCAGGGATGGCACTGAGGATGAGAGGAGATGGGGAATTTGGCTGCTGTTGGGGAGGAGAGAGACCCCGACGAGGCTGGGGCGGCTGGCGGGTGACTTCCCTCCCCTTCTCCACCCCTGTAGAATCCTTCCCTGACGCTGAGCAAGAAGCTGAAGCTGAAGCGGGAGAACCCGGATCTCCTGGAGCTGTGCCACACTGTGCCCATGGAGGTCATCACGGCGGGTGAGGTGACAGGGAGCCGGGGAACAGGGACACTGGGGGAGGCAAGGAGGCCTGGGCTTTGCGTTTCCCAGCAGCAGGACGCTTGGGAGGGCACCCCGACACTACGGTCACTGCTTCTGCCCTTTCCCTCTCTCCTTTCCCAGAGAAAAAACTCTTTGAACCAGGTGACTCGAATAACTACACTGCTTTCAAGAACTGGCTGCGGTGTTACTTGGTGCCCGGCATGAGCTCCCTGCGCGACCGCAACGGCAGGACCATATGGTTCCAGGTAGGAGTCCGGGGTCGCTGCATGGGGCTGGGTGCGCCCCCCGACCACTCCTCCAAGGGGACACCAGCCCATTTTCTGCTTCCCAAGACCCCCCCAGCATTACGCTGTGTCGCTGGAGGGTCTCCCTCTCCGCCAGACTGCTGAGACAGCTGGACGTGGAGGTGACAAGGACCCTCCGTGCGGTGGCCAGCTGGTGACGGGCAGTCTGGAGCAGAGGGCCTGAGTGTGGGAACGGGGGACTCGGGTGGTCTGGCAGCCCCGTTTCTCCCTCCTGCACCCCGTGTCTGGGTGAGGGGCCATGACGGGGCCTTGCAGAAGGAGCAGGGGCTGATGGGAGAGTCGCCAAGGCAGAGGGCAGGCAGAGCAAGCCCCGACTCCCCTGGCATCCCCTGTCTCGGCTGCGGGATGGAGAAGGGGCACGGATTTTGCTCTCGCTACCTGCGGAGTGGCTGCGCCCCAGTCAATGCTCTGTCGCCTTCCTTGCAGGGAGAGCCCGGCCCCATGGCTCCCAAAGGTGAGTGCCCTCTCTCCTCCCCGCGGGGAGCCCCCCTTGCTCCAGGAGGGCTGGAGACTGGGAAGGCAAAGGCGGGAGCAAAGCCGTTCCTCCACCCCAGTACCAATTCCTCAGCGCTCAGCCTCGCACATCACCTGGGACAGCGTCCCTGAAAGGTCACTGTGCCGCAGCCTGTCCCCCGTCCCCTCCTCACCCCCACTAACCTGGGCACCTCTTCTCACGCAGGGCAGACGTCCCGCAAGAAGCGCGCTCAGCTGAAGGCAGATCCCGAGGCTCCGCCCCCCGAGGTAGGACGCTTTGCGGTTGCTGCGGCTCCTGCTGGGTCTAGAGGCTGCTCCCGAATTCACGGAGGGGCTCCTACCTGGAGTTTCTCATCCGCCGACGGTCCAAGCACGCTTCTGCTAAGCTCCGGCTCTGATGTCCACCCAGGTCACCACGCGCACCTCGAAACGACGCCCCAGGGCTGCAGCAAAACCCCCGAAGCCGGTCACGGAGGAGGAGGAGGAGGAGGCGGCTGCCAAGTGCAAAGCCGAGGAAGGGACGTTCCCGTGGGAGAAAAGCAACTGCTGCTCCAGACTCGTCTGAGCCTGAGCCGCCGGTCAAAGCCAAAAGAAGCCGCCGGACAACCGCACGCAGGGGCAGAGGTGAGGCTGGCAGTCCCTGCGGCTTTCAAAACGAGCCGTGGGAACGCTCCGTCGCGTCAGGGGGGTCTGAGGGGGTGCCAGAGGGCAGGAGAGGAGCCAGCGGGGCTTGGCGGGGCAGAACCAGGCGCCCCCTTACCCTCTGCCTTCTTGTTTCCCTCCCCGTTTTCCAGGTGGAGCCCCCGCCGTGTGACTGCTGCGCTTTAACAGCCGCAGCAGCTCAGGGAGGGCCTGGCCGGGGGCCTGGGTTAGTGCTGGGGAGAAATAGAGCTGCTCTGCGCCTGTGCTCACACCCGCTCGCTACCGCTGCATCCTGCTAGTGCAAAAAAGGTGACGGGGCTGATTTATCCAGCGTCCTCCTACTGTCCCCAGGGATTTCAAGGGTTAAGGGCCACAGACCGCACAGGGTGCTGGACTCTGACCCTTCCCTCTGCCTAAAAGCAGATTCCCTCTTCCTTCCTCTCTTCCCTTTCTGGCTTGGATCACTGTTTTTAGCTGACAAATAAAGTATTTTGTGTAGAAATCACTGTGCACGTCTTTTTGTGCTAGGGGTAACCCCCCCCGTGGCCCAGCCTCTTCCCTAGATGGGCCGCAGCAGGCTTCCCCTCCACCTCACCCCCCCAAAAAAAACTAAAGGTAAGCTCTGCTTCCCCAGTCCCAGGAGTGAGATCCTGGTGAGGAGGACACTAAGAGAGCAGCAGCTAGAAAGGAACCCCTGGGAGGAGGCAGATCAGCGCAGTTACCTGGAAATAAGTGAAGAAAACAGGCTGGAGTTTGTTTTCATGTAATTCTCCTCTTTACTTGTGTTCCCCTTCTGCAAGGGCAGTGCAAGAGGTAGGTGAAGGGAGAAAGGAATGACTGTAGTCTGTCTTTACACTCATTGCCCTATTGCAGCTTATCGCTGCTTGGGTCTGGACAAGACGAAGGCTGAGACACGGGAGCCACTGCGGAAAAAGCTGCTGCTCCCCAAACCTCCCGGAGCTGGAGCAGAGCCTGTCCCACAACCCTAACCCACGCTTCCGCTGGCTGCGAACTCCCTTGGGCCCGCCTTCCCTGGTGAGGCAGGGGGTAACTCTCCTCCTTTCCGGAAGAATATCGTTGTTTTCGAGCGCAGCTCTCCGACGGGTGGGTGGGGAGCAAGGGAGAGACTCTGCCCTTCTCTGGAACCAGGTCCTTGCACAGCTCTTGGGATGGGGAAAAGCCTCAGGCTGCGATTTGAGCTCACGGTGTTGGTCTGGGTTGCGTCGGCAAGGGCGACTGACAGCCTCATCGCCTCAAGACCAAGAGGACTGAGAGCACGCGGAAGGGGGTGAAGGAAAGCCTCACGCCCCGCTGCTCCAGCGGCAGGCAGCCCCTCGCAACCGGCCGCTCCAGCAGGTCGCAGCTGGGGAAGAAAGCAGCAGGTGAGGCCAAAGCGACTGATCCCCTTCCCCGCACGCGCCCAAGCCCTCCAGCACGGACTTACAGCATCGCCTCCTCAACGGGGAGGGAGGTCTGGAGCCAGGCGACGACCGTGCTGCCGTGCGCTTCGTACAGCCGAACCACCACAGCTGCGGGTCTGTCCTCAGCCTTTGGGGAACAGCGCAGACGGGGGGTTCAGACAAATGAGACAGGCGCATCCTACCCTGTGCCTCGGGGTACAGCCCGGCCCAAGCGATCGTGCTTGGGGGCACACGCGTTCCTGACCCACCCGCGCCGACTGCGGCTGTAGCACCCAGGTACAGACGCGGATACTACCGCGATCCCCGGGGCGAGCGCCCGCCTGGGCCGGCAGAGAGGGGTGCTAACCCCCCTCACCCTCGCCTAGCAGGACGTGCAAACCAGAGCGCTCGCTGTTTCCGCTCAGCCGAGCCTGCCCACCACCCGACTGCAGGGGAAAGAGCAAACCACGCGTAACAACAACAGTTTCACCCGCCTGCCCTCCCCGGCTCTGCCCCGGGGGACTTGCCCGCTTGACAGTCTCCAGCACGACCGCAGGGGAGCTGACAGAAAAGGCGCTCCAGGCCGGGCACTCTGCAGAGCTGGCCGGGACCGTGTGGAGGGGGAAATTCAAGTTGTAGGCGTGCTGGATCACACCGGCATCCTGGAAGGAACCTGCAACGCAAGAACCTCTAGCCAGCCCCTACGCGGGGACAGCCAGATGCGCTCACCGGAGCATCCTCCACCCTGCACGTCCTCACAGGAGCCAGCTCTGCCCGTCGCTCACCCCGGTGAGGCATCACGGCGTAGGTGAACTGGTGATACTCGATGTCTGCGGTGGCATCGGGCGACTTGGGCGCTCTCAGCCTAAGGCAACAAGAGGTAGGTGGGACTGGGGTCTCCGTCAGCCAGTCCAGAGCCAGAGGAGCACTGGGACAAGACAACTGCCTCCACCCTGCCACCTCCTCCAGACTGTGCCCTGAGGTGGGAGCCAACATGCTGCTGGTTTCTGGCAACAGCAAACACACCCTGGAGAAGGTGCCTCAGAAGCTAAAATTAACCTTTGAAGGGTGTTTTCCTGTGAAACTTGGGGCCGATGGAGTCAAAGTGAAATATGTAGAGTTTCTCCTAGCTTTGTACACATCCGTAACATTGCCGTTCCTTCCCTCTCCTGCCCTTCTGGGGTACGTTTTGGCCAGCAACAGAAAAATTACTTGGTGCAAATGTGGACCTGATCTCTCCTGGATTATCTATGAGCATAACTCATCGGAATTACCTTATCTTAGTCAATTGTAATTAAGTCAGCCAAAAGTTCTCAGGTGACTTAGACTAATACCAGACTATTTCCTTATTAACTATGATCATTTAGGACCAGGCCTTGCCTTGACTTCTAAGAGACACCTCAGAAGGCAAAGCAACTGCTGCAGCTCCGCCCTCACCCCAGCCCTACTCACAGCGAGAGGCTGAGGACGTTCCCGCGGGCCGATGCACCATATTTGCAGTCGTTCAGCACTGCCACCCCAAAGCCGTGCTCGGAGAGATCCAGCCATTTGTGAGCCCACACCTGCAGGAGGTGCCAAGGGACATATTCACCACACAGAGCTACTGCCTGGGACCAAAGGCGGCCCCACCACGGGAGGACCAAAGTAACCTTCCTCTCACCTCAAATCGGGCCCAGTCCCACGACGTGTTCCAGTGCGTTGGCCGCTGCAAGTGCCCGAACTGGATCTCGTAGGTGGCGTTCGTGCTCCGGACCTGCACGGGGAACTCCACCTTCAGGAACTTGTGAGCCTCCTTCCACTCGACCTAAATGTGGTAGCGAAAGGACATTATCACTGGAGGCTGACAGGGAGAGCCTGCACTTAGCCTTCCCCGTGGCGCAGCAGCCAGCTCACACCCAGACCAGCCCAGGCACAACACAAGAGACGAACTGGGGGGGGGTCTCTCTCCCAATCTTGTCCCTCAGGACCCCCTCCCTTGGGCTGCCTTCCCCTGAGGCAGAGGAAGAGAGGCAGTGGGGAGCTCCAGGGAAGGAAACAGGAGGGGGAACGTAATTCAGACACGAGGTTTAGCTCCCCAGGGCCCTGCCTGCGCAGCACAGATGTTCATATCGCGCGGCAGCCGCTGGCCACACCTGGGTCAGGAAGCGGAGGTACGGGCACGTGGCATCCAGGATGATCTCCTGCGTTATGGTGCTGCTTTCCCCAACCTGCAGAGAGAAGCTTGCGCTTCCCCGCAGGCCCCCAGCCAGGGTGATTTCCAGAGGCCTCAGCAGCGTTATCACTGGCTTCCTAGAGAAAGGGATAAAGGTCTCAGCCGGGCAGATCCAGGCTCCCAAATCCCAATCCAGCCTCCCACACAGCAGGCAGCGCCTTCTCCGGAGCGAACGCTCCGTTACAGCTAGGACTGACAGGGAGGCGAGAACCTCAGAGCAAACTCGAAATCCAAGCGCTTGCATGCACTGCTCCTCTACCTGGTTTCCAAGTGATAATCCATCACATCCCAGGCATCCCAGTACAGGGGGACATCATCAAAGAGTGCAAACTGGTTGGCATAGCAGCCATCTGGGATGGACTCTCTGGAACAAAGTGGAATAGCATAGGAAGAACGGGCAGTGGAGAAGGGCGTACAGTAAGAAAAAGACCCAAGAAAGGTTTGAGGAGCCCGGTCCCTTACCTCTCGGAGTCCGCCAGCCGAAGCGAGGTCAGGCGCCCCATCGCATCCAGACGGACTGCAATCACCCCATTCTCCATGGCAACAGAGCCATCCTCCTGGGGGAAAGGACAGACACCGGCATCACAGACCCACGCCTGCGGGAGCTCAGGCGGGTGCAAAGTGCCCCAGTTGGAAATCTAGTGCGCAGACTTGCGGCGCGCTGGATTTCCTAGATTTCTCCCCAGTCAGCCTTTGATGCAGGGTACGCCAACGTGAGGACAAAGGCAGTTGTGCTTACCTGTTTCCTCACTGCCACAGGCTGAAGGGGTGGCAACGGCTCCCGCACTAGAGCGTAGCCCATGCTGGGGACTGTCACCAGAGCTGGAAAGCAAAGAGGTTCTCTGCCAACATCTGCCCCAGACCTAACCCTAAGTCACACTGCACTGCCTTGCTGCTCTCACTCGGACATACCACCTCCTTTCATACCCTCCTCTTCTTCATCCATAGCAACTTGAAGTGGGATCAGCCCCAAGGAGCAGTTTGGCAGGTCAGTAAACCCTCCCCAGGGCAGGGAGAGGCAGAGTATTTCTTTGCTAGCTGTCTCTGCCCCTGTCAGAAATCCTGGTACACGAGTTACCCCCCAAGTTAGACATACCTAAAGTCTCTGGTTTGGCTGACTTGGTCCTGGAGATCACCTCAGTCCGTTCCCAGGGTAAAGTGTTCAACACGAGGGTGCTCTCGGTGCTCCCTGCCGTGGGCTGCAGCAGGTCCCCGCATAAGGACTGCACGGCTTCCTCCTGCAGCTGAGTGCCAGCACTGCGGATCTCTGAGCAAATAAAAGGCCCGAGTTGGAGCCGGCCAGGCCATTTCTCACATCCGAGAGAGTTTCTGGTGCTCTCATGCAAAGTACGCGCACTTTAGCTACTTCCAAGCTACGATTACTAAATACTGTTAGTATTAATTACTATTATCTATTAGTAATTAAAGTCTATAATTATTCTTAACTTTGCTATTACAATGAGCTACACCAGCTCAACGGGAAAACTGTGGAGCTAGAATAAAGCTACTGCAAGTGCCTGTGGGCAGGCAGGAGTGAACTTCAGCTCCCACCTTTGCCAG